TGCAGTAAAACTATTTTTTCAATAGCTGTGTGATGTTGCAGCAGAAAGTTGTGTCCGATGTCGCTCCAACAGCAAATGGTGATAAAATTTGTAAAAGATGTAACTTAAAAGCCGTAAATGCTATTATAACTTGTGTAAAGTGTAAAGAGGTTTACCATAAAAGTTGTGTCCACGTACTATCAAATCGAGGGCAAAAATGTGAACTATTAGGTGAGAACGAAATGATGTGTTTTAAACATTACACACCACTACCACTATCGGAGGATGAAATGTCTATTGGCATGTCTGAAAATGGTGCGGAATCCCAGGAGGTAATTATAACAAAACTACGAACGGAAAATGAGGCCCTACGAACAGAAATATCGTACCTAAAAAACGAACTACGACAATTGGAATCTTCCATTAATCAGCAATTAGGAGGTGAACGCTTTGTAAAAACTAATACCAGTGATAGTGACACAAAAAGTCTAGTCGACGAATTGAAAAATGAACTTTTTCAGCACTTCACCAAATTTAAGAATGAAATTAATAAAACCATTGAGCACAAATTTAGCGAGATCCACTCTATAATGGAAAACTTGCAAGCTAAGCCAAAATTCAGCGATATAGTAAAGAAACAGGATGTAGTTATTATAAAACCAAAAACTAATCAAACCACCAAAGTTACTCTGGAATCAATACAACAAACAATTGACCCCGTTGCTGAAGACATAGGAGTAAACCACGTTAAACAACTGAGAAATGGAGGTGTGCAATAAGAAAGAAGATATTACTAAACTACATAACATTAGTACGCAAAAACTCGGCGAGGATTACACAATTCGAAAATCTGGGTTAAGAAATCCCATGATAAAAATTGTTGGTTTAAGCGAATCATATAATGAAGAGTCTCTAAAAAGATGCATAACTAGACAAAACAGTACTTTGAAGGATCTTATAAACACATGGAAACTTGTTATCTGCAAGAAAATGAAAAAAAAATATATGGCGATAGTAGAAGTCGATCCAAAGTCATTTTTAGAATTTATCAAATTAAAAACAGTTCTTATACATTGGGATGAATGTCGAATTTTTGAGCATTTTGGAATAAATCGATGCTACAATTGCGGTGGTTACAATCATACAGCGAAATATTGTAAAGAAGGGACAAAGATTTGTCTAAACTGTGACAGTCGTGAACACGTCGAAATTGAATGTGAAAAGGGAGAAACGTCGTGTATTAATTGCATCAGAGCAAATAAGAATTTGAAATTAGACTTAGACATTAATCACTCACGTTTTGACCCAAAATGTGAAGTACTTAAAAAACAAGTGCAACGCGCCCAGGCTAAAACAAAATATAACAATATATAGCAATCACACCAAAATCAAGAAATATCTGACTTGAGAATTTTGTCTTTAAATATACAGTCCATCAGGAATAAAATTAATCTGCTAGAAGCTATTTTACATAATCATAATTTTAGTGTCTTGTGCATAAGTGAGCACTGGTTAACCAGTGATGAAACAGAATGCGTTACAATTAATAATTTTAGAGTGGCTGATTCCTTTTCGAGAGTGATTCACACTCATGGTGGCGTGGTTCAATGCATAGATCCTTCCCTACAGTATGAAGACCTACCACAACTACATAATATATCCAAAGAAATTAATTGTGAATTAATCGGCATATATGTACATAAATTTGATGTATTGTTAATATCATTGTATAGATCACCCAGTGGTGATTATGATGTCTTTATTGAAACTTTAGTTAAGTTACTTAATATCATTAATTATAAACAGAAACATATACTAATTGGGGGTGACTTTAACCTTCATTTTAATGTAAACGACGTAAAGGCGCAAATATTTTGTGATTTCTTACTTAGTTATGGTTTCCAACCTTTAGTGACTTTTCCAACAAGGGGAAGTTCCTGTATTGACAATGTCTTTTGCAATTTCTCAAGTGAAAACATTAAGGTGAGTGCTTTTGAGACCCATCTGTCAGATCATAGAGGAGTAGCTATTAATATTTCTCAAATTTTTAAAACACAAGAAAAACAATTCAAACTTACAAGACCCCTCACGAATCATGGTAAATTAATTTTTTTCAATCTATTAAGTGCAGTTAATTGGGACTTTGTAAAATCTGATATTTATATTAACAATAAGTTTAACATGTTCATTAATACCATCTTATATAACTATTATACTGCATTTCCTGTAAAAACTATAGTCTGTTATAATAGAAGCAAAATTCCAAGTAATAATTGATTTTCAACAGAACTTCAAAAGATGAGAGAAACATTAAAATTGCTTTCCGAAGCTTATAAATTGCATGGAACTTTAGAACTCAAATCGTTGTTACTGGAATTTAGACGTAAATACAATATAGCTATTAAAAATTCAAAAATACAAGCTAATGATAGATATATTGGATTAAACAAAAATAGTCCTAAAGCAATGTGGAAATTGATCAAATGTAAAAATCCCAAAAAACAACCTAAACAAACTTTTGCCATAACACCTGATGAATTGAATGCCTTTTTTACAAATATTGCTACAGACATCATTTCAACCTTGGCTCCCCCAAAATTTGATCCCATTAGCTTAATGACAAATATACCTAATATAAATACCTCATTTAATTTTCAACAAGTAACTTATATCCAAGTACGAGATGCTTTTGTTAGCTTACGAAATAATAATTCGAAAGACATTTATGGATTTACAGTACCACTTATTAAATCCCTTAAAGACATATTAATACAACCGCTTACCAATCTGATAAACTCCTGCATTGAAGTGAATTTATTCCCTGATTGTCTCAAACGAGCCAGTGTGGTTCCTATATACAAAAAAGGCGATCTTGATGACATTGGCAATTACAGGCCAATATCATTATTACCAATTTTTTCGAAAATTTTTGAGAAACTAATGCTACAGCAGATTACGGAATATCTAAACCAATATAACCTTCTGACATTACAACAATTTGGTTTCCGTAAAGGCCTCTCTACTTCTACAGCCATCAGTGCACTAGTCGATAAGATAATCCAGAGCTTTGAACGTAAAGAATATTACTCAACCCATTTCTTAGATCTCAGTAAGGCTTTTGATTGCGTAACTCATGATATTCTGTTAAGAAAATTATATTACTATAATTTCCAACCACCGAGTATAAATCTGATTATGAGTTACCTTAAAAATAGAACGCAAAGCGTATCCATTGAAAACAGATCATCTTGTACTTATTCTGTTAATTATGGGGTTCCTCAAGGGTCCATTTTGGGACCAATATTGTTCTTGCTATATACAAATGATCTTCCAGACTACCTTAAAGAAGTTGATGTAACTCTCTACGCTGATGATACTTGCATTGGTACAGCAGGAGTAACTGCCGACCTTGCCTTCAACGCCAATCAAAATTCTATGAAGAAAGCCGCAGAGTGGTTCAGTGCAAATAGACTCCATTTAAATAAAACAAAATGTGTCTCAATGCTCTTCACATTAAGACCCTGCGAATGTTCCATCGAATGTGCGGAATATACAAAGTACTTAGGAGTCATTATCGATAAGGAACTTACTTGGTGTCAACACGGTAATTATATGTCAGATAAAATTTCAAAAAATACCTTCCTTTTAAGAAATTTGGCTAATAATCTTTCTTTACACTGTTTATGTATGGCCTATTATGCTCTGATACACCCTCTTGTCAATTATTCCATTTTAGTCTGGGGGCACTCATCATCTTTATCACGACTCTTTAAACTACAACGAAGATCAATCAGAATAATAGCTAATATAGGATACAGAGAAGATTGTAGAGCGTACTTCAAGTCACTAAAAATACTTACACTTCCTTCGCTTTATATTTATCGATGTTTGGAATTTATTACTCGGCATACAGAATTATATCCCGAAGTCAACCTCTATCACAACTACAGGACTAGACACGAGGATATTTGTTTCAGAAACTTGCGTCTCACTAAATCGAGGGATGCTATTAATTATTTTTGCATACAATTTTTGAACACTTTGCCTGACGAAGTACGTAGATACAACAGTCATGATTTTCTAAAAAATGTGCCCTTCGATACGAAGGGCATTTTATTCATTAGATGAATACCTAAATAATAATTTTAAAGACCTGGTGTTACTATCTAGTGGTGCTTAATTTATTATATAGTAGATCATATATATTTATAGAGTTAATTCTAATTTGTTTCTTTTAAAAATTGTTATTTATTTTTACAAAATTATGTTCGATGTATTTACTAGCTTCTTCTGACGTGTGTAAAATTTTTTATTAGCACAAATAAAGATTTATTATTATTATTATATTATATATTTTAGGCATTTTCTTTTTAAATAATGTCGCAATGATTTGTGAATCTGTCACAATGACAAATTAATTATCTATGCTGACAAAATTAAAACATTTGTTTGCTTTATTAAAAAATTGCGTCTAATTATTCTGATTTCTTTAGTTGACCGAAGGATGGTTAAAGCTCAAGTTAAACAGACAATATTATTACCGTAATTAATACACGACTGACGAGTTTCTTTATGCTACATTTTTTTGTATCATGATTTAATAGTCGTTTTAATCATATTTTCATCAATTAATACGATTTCATGACATGCATCTGCTTGCCTTGTTTTCATTTTCAACTTAATCCATTGTGACAATTTATACGCTAATTAACATTTAATTCTAATAATCGGATTGTTTACCTTTTTCATTTACCAGTTGATCTTTTAAATGTCAATGATCGTTGAATGTTACACGATTCTGTTGCTTTGTGCTAATTACAGATAATAATAAAAAAAATAAGTTAAAATTTTATGAAAATTGAACTAACGGAAGTGGCTTTTTTCTTTTAGACAAGGCGACAGTATTTCCCACCACAAGATCCCCGATTATGTATCATCAGAGTGGGCGGATTTAACGCCAAGGTTCCCATATCATTTATATATTTCTTTGAAGGTTAAATTTGCCATTAACGTAGCGAGTAACCAACAGGTTTTGCGGTTTGAATTCTTGCGATTTCCATTTAGAACAATTAATAGATAAAAACGTTTCCCAAAACCGGTTAATAATCTGATAAAATGGGGAAAACTCTCAACGAAACGCTTTGTATTTAAAACGTCGCGAATTATAGTAAACACAATCATTTTTATTCATACGTTTGTGGTCAACAGTGGCACTTATTCAAACACAAATTTTAATTAACTAACAATGAAGACTTGTCGTATTTCCTCAGCTACGCTGCTAATTGTGTGTGCTTTAGCGTTTCTGGTTCATCAGTACCATTGCTTTGAAATTCGAGGTATGTTAGCTTGAACCATTTTAGTTGTCTTAATGTAATTAATTATGGGTGTCTACTATAGCTTCTGAAGACTGGGGCGAACCCGAAGTACCGGCAGAGCACAGCTTTCGTGATACCGAAAATGACAACAACAACCCTACGTCGGAACAAAAAGAACACGGAACTCTCGATTTCATAGGTCGCGATATAGTACGAGGGGTGTCTAGAACATACAAAAAAATTAAAGAAAAAATTCGAAAAACGTTTTCGAGTGAAACTAAAGGACTTGATTGTAACAAAACTCTGGCCGGTGGAAGTACCCAAAGTTTTAAAACTAACATCGCTGCCATATATCCAGGTGTGTATTATATACAATTCGGGTTCGTAAATTTGCGTTGCTAAAGCAATATTTCTGTGTAGGTACAAAATGGTGTGGTGATGGCAACATTTCAAAATCTTTCGACGATTTGGGGAAGCATTCCAAAGCTGATAGTTGTTGCAGGGAGCATGATATCTGTCCGGAAAATATGGATGCTGATTCGACCAAATACGGTTTAATGAATACGGGGCTTTTTACAAGATCACACTGTGATTGTGATAAGAGGTTTTACGAGTGTTTGAAAAATGCCGATAGTTTTGTTGCTAATAGTATTGGGTATACGTATTTTACGATTTTGGGGCCGCAGTGTTTTAAGCAAGATTATCCTGTAATCGACTGCCTGGAAGAAAGGCGGTAAGTAATATCATGAATACATTTAGTCTGTGGTATTTATGTTTAATTTGTAGAGGGAAGTGTGAAGAATATTTGACAGATACCGATGGAGAGAAAATCTATCAGTGGTTTGACAGCCCTGTATATTAATATTTGTTAAAATGTATATAGATATGTGTTCGATTATAATTTGTGTACAGTGAACATTGACATTTTGTGATTGTTTTTATTTTATAAATAAAGATGTGATAGTGATATATATTTATTGAATGAATATACTTCTATACCTGAAATCGGTACTCCTATCTTGAAAAATTTTTTAAATTTAATCTCTAAGATGATCATTCTTCCAAATTGTACTAGATGTTGTAGGACTGAGTCTGATTTTGTCGAATAAATGTTATTTAAATGTTAAAAAGTAGCATAGTCCTGAGCTTGTGGCTTTTCAATTCTTCCATTCTTCAAATTTTAGATTTCTCGACTTTTATTTTTTGATTTCTCAATTTTCCGCTGTTTCAATGATACAATTTCTCAGTTTTTGTCCCCTTTAATTACGATTTTTAAATATTTCGATTTTTCAACTTTTCAAATTTTGACGTTTCTAAATTTTTCCGATTTCTGAAATAATTATTTTTTATTTCCCTATTTCTCGACTTCCCAAATTTTTAGATTTTTCAGGTTTCTGATTTTTCAGTTTTGCTTTTTTAGTTATTCGATTTCTCAATTTTCCCATTTTTTAAGTTCTCAATTTTTTGGATCTTTCTTTCAGTTTTGGGATTTTTTGATTTCTCGATTTTTTACTTTCTGGATTTTCAGTTTTTCGTTAAACTTTAGATTTTTCAATTATACTTCAATTCTTCAGTTTTTTTAACGTATCGGTGTTTTAATTTTTCAATTTTTGAAATTCTAGGTTTTTCGATTTCTTGAGTTTTCAGTTCTTCTATATTTAAGCTTTTCAGTTTTACGAATTTGAAAATTTTCTATTTTCAAATTTTTCTTTTTTAAAATTTTTTGATTTTTCAATTTTTTGATTTTTCGATTTATCGAATTCAGATGTTTCGATGTTTAGATTGTTCAATTTCTCTCTTTATCAATTTTTCAATTTTTAACTTTTCTTCTCGGCGTTTCACTTTTTTCGATTTCACGATATTTCAATCTTTAAATTTTTGAATCTTTCGACTCTTGGATTTCTCGGTTTTTTGATTACTTTTGGGCTTTTCAATTTTTCGATTTTCCAATTTTTCGATGTTTCGATTTTTCAGTTATTCGATTTTTCAATTTTTTAAATTCTGGAGTTTCGTTCTGGATTTGTTGGTTTTTCAGTTTATCGATTTTTAAATTTTAGATTTTCGAAATTTCATTTTTTGATTTTTTAATGTTTGGATTTCTCGATTTTTCAATTTTGTGATATTTTAATTGTTCAATGTTCTAAATTTTACATATTTCGGTTTCTCGATTATTTGATTTTTCAGTTTTTCAGTATTTCTTTTTTTCAATTTTTCAAATTTTGACCTTGTTAAATTGTTAGTTTTCCGATTTCTCAATTAATCTATTTTTGATTTTCCCATTTCACAACTTCTCAAAATTTCAATTTTTCGGTTCCTTAATCTTCGATTCTTCGTTTTTCCTACTTTGCTTTTTTGCTTTTTCGATTTCTCAATTTTTTAATTTCTCAGCTTTTGGATATTTCTTTCAGTTTTGAGATTTTTCAACTTTTCGACTTATACTTCCAATTCTCAATTGTTCAACTTTTCGGTGTTTTAATTTTTCAATTTTTAAAATTCTAGGTTTTTCCATTTCTCGAGTTTTCAGTTCTTCTACATATATTTAAGTTTTTCAATTCCAAATTTTTAAATTTCCGAATTTCCAATTTTTCTTATGAAAATTTTTGATTTTTTAATTTTTTGATTTTTGGTTTATTGAATTCAGATGTTTCGATATTTTGATTGTTCAATTTCTCTATTTATTAATTTTTCAATTTTCAGCTTTTCTTCTCGGCTTTCCACTTCTCGATTTCTCGATCCCCTGTTTTTCCGATTTCTCGATATTTCAGTTTTTAAATTTTTCGATCTTTCGATTCTTGGATTTCTCGGTTTTTTGATTACTTTTGGGCTTTTCAATTTTTGGATTTTCCTATTTTTCGATGTTTCGATTTTTCAGTTATCCGATTTTTCAATTTTTAAATTTTTTAAATTTTGGAGTTTCGTTCTCGATTATTTGATTTTTCAGTTTTTCAGTATTTCTACTTTTCAATTTTTCAAATTTTGACCTTGTTAAATTGTCAGTTTTCCGAATTCTCAATTAATCTATTTTTGATTTTCCCATTTCTCGACTTCTCAAAATTTCAATCTTTCGGTTCTTTAATCTTCAATTTTTCGTTTTTCCGACTTTGCTTTTTCGATTTCTCATTTTTTTTATTTCTCAACTTTTGGATATTTCTTTCAGTTTTGGGATTTTTCAATATTTCGATTATTTTATATTTCGATTTCTCAATTTTTCTACTTTTCGATTTCTCGTTTTTTCAGTTCTTCTATATTTAAATTTTTCAATTCCGAATTCTTAAATTTTCGATTTTCCAATTTTTCTTTTTTAAAATTTTTGATTTTTCAATTTTTTGATTTTTTGATTTATCGAATTCAGATGTTTCGATGTTTTGATTGTTCAAATTCTCTATTTATCAATTTTTCAATTTTCAACTTTTCTTCTCGGCTTTCCACTTCTCGATTTCTCGATCGTCTGTTTTTTCGATTTCTCGATATTTCAATCTTTAAATTTTTCGATCTTTCTATTCTTGGATTTTTCAGTTTTTTGACTAATTTTGGGCTTTTCAATTTTTGGGTTTTCCCATTTTTCGATGTTTCGATTTTTCAGTTATTCGATTTTTCGATTTTTCAATTTTTTAAATTCTAGAGTTTCGTTTTCGATTTGCTGATTTGTCAGTTTATCGATTTTTAAATTTTAGATTTTCAAATTTTTATTTTTTGATTTTTCAATTTTGCGATATTGTAATTGTTTAATGTGTTAAATTTTATATATTTCGATTTCTCGATTTTTTGATTTTTCAGTTCTTCACTATTTTATTTTTCAATTTTTCAAATTTTGACGTTGCTACATTTTCAGGTTTCCGATTTCTCAATTAATCTATTTTTGATTTTCCCATTTCTCCACTTCCCAAATTTTCGATTTTTCAGTTCTTTAATTCTTCGATTTTTCGTTGTTCCGAGTTTGTTTTTTGGTTTTTCGGTTTCTCAAATTTCCAATTTTTCAATTTCTCAACTTATGGATATTTCTTTCAGTTTTGGGACTTTTCAATATTTCGACTCTTCGACTTTTCGATTTTTCGACTTCTGAATTTTTCAATTTTTCGATTATTTTATATTTCGTTTTCTCAATTTTTCAACTTTTCGATATTTTAATTTTTCAATTTTCAAAATTCTAGATTTTTCGATTTCTCGAGTTTTCAGTTCTTATATATTTTAATTTTTCGATTTTCCGAAGTTTTAAATGTTCGATTTTTCATTTTTTTGAGATCTCGATTTATGGAGATTCGGATGTTTCGATGTTTAGACTGTTCAATCTCTTGATTTTTCAATTTTTGCTTTTCTAACTTTTCGATTTTTCGATTTTGGCCTATTTTGGTTTCTCAGTTTTTAGATCTTTTGTTGTTCGATTTCTCGATGTATGAGTTTTTGAATTTTTCGATGTTTCGGTTTGTTGGTTTTTCGATTTTGTACTTTTCGGCTTTTGGATTTTTGAATTATCCGATTTTTCAATTTTCCGATTTTTTAAATTTACGAGTTTCTATTTCTCGATTTGTTAATTTTTCAGTTTTTCGATTTTTCAATTTTACGATATTTTAATTTTTCAGTGTTTTAAATTTTAGATTTTTCGATTTTTCTATTTTTCGGGTCTTCAATATTTTTTACTTTTTCAAATTTTGAGGTTTCTGAATTCTCAGTTTTCCGATTTCTCAATTAATTAATCTATTTTTTGATTTTCTCATTTCTCGACTTCCCAAAGTTTCGATTTTTCAGTTTTTAGTTCTTCAATTTTTTCGAATTTTCAGCTTCATGATTTTTCAACACCCTCTATTTCATTGCTGCATCTCACTCTATTTTTTGTTCTCTCTCTGTTTTAACTAAGTAGGTATTTTCTAAACATATTTGAAGTTGAAAGTTATTTCGATGTTTTATTTTTCAAACACATCGACATTTTGAAAAAAATTGAAGAAAGAAGTAGAGTAAGATGCAGTAATAAATACAGGGTGTTTTCTTTGAAAAAAACCGAAATATTGACATTTAAAACCATGACGTCTTAGATTTTTTTAATAAATAATCTGTGGATTAAACTTATTATATATAACCATGGTTTCAAGGCTAGCGAGCGGCCCAATGAGAATATGTAAAAATATATATCTTGGTCTACTTACAAAAATAAGTTATATGTTATGAACTAATCTTTTTTTTATTTTTCCATTTCTCGACTTCCCAAAATTTCGATTTGTTTCAATTCTTCAATTTTTCGATGTTCCAGGTTTTTTGTTTTTTCAATTTTTCGACTTTTTAAGCTTACGATTTTTCGACTTCTCACTTATCCAATTTTTGAATTTCTCAAATTTTTGGATATTTCTTTCAGTTTTGTGATTTTTCAATATTTCAATTTCGCGACTTTTTGATTTTTGGACTCCTGGAATTTTTAATTTCTCGGTTTTTACTTTATGCATTTTAAATTTTTTGTTAAACTTTAGATTTTTCAATTTTTTCGACTGCTTTATATTTCGATTTCTCAATTTTTCAACTTTTCGATGTTTTAATTTTTTCAATTTTTCAAGATTCCGAATTATTAAATTTTTCGCTTTTCAATTTTTTGATTTCTCGATTTATCGAATTCAGATGTTTTGATCAATTTTTCAATTTTTAACCTTTTCTCTTGGCTTTCCACTCCTCGATTTCTCGATCCTCTGATTTTTCGAATTCTCGATGTCTCATTTTTTTAATTTTTCGATGTTTCGATTTTTGGATTTTTCGATTTTTCGATTCTTCGCTGTTGGGCTTTTCAATTGTTCAATTTTCCGATTTTTCAAATTCACAATTTTTTAAATTTTCGGGTTCCAATTTGTGCATTTTTCAGTTATCGATTTTTAAATTTTGGATTTTCGAATTTTTATTTTTTGAAGTTTGGCTTTCTCCATTTTTCAATTTTGCGACATTTTAATTCTTCAATGTGTTACATTTTAGATTTTTCTATTTCTCGATTTGTTGATTTTTCAGTTTTTCGTTTTTAAAATTTTAAATTTTTGAATTTTAATGTTTTTGATTTTTTGATGTTTGGATTTCCCCATTTTTCAATTTTACGATATTTTTATTTTTCAGTGTTTAAAATTTTAGATTTTTCGATTTTTCTATTTTTCTATTTTTCAGTTCTTCGATATTTTTTACTTTTTCAAGTTTTGAGGTTTCTGAATTCTCAGTTTTCCGATTGCTCAATTAATTAATCTCTTTTTTGATTTTCTCATGTATCGATTTCCTAAAGTTTCGATTTTTCAGTTTTCAGTTTTCACTTTTTTTCAATTTTCAGTTTCTTGATTTTTCAGTTTTTCGAATTTTTAAGTTTGCGATTTTTCAATTTTGCTGTTTTGACTTTTCGATTTAAATTTTTTAATGTCTTAATTTTTGGATATGTCCTTCAATTTTGTGATTTTCGATTCTTTAATTTTTTTTCTCTTTCAGTTTTTCGATATTATAATTTTGGGGTTTTTTAGTAAGCATTTCGACTTTTCGATTCTTCGAGTTTTGAATTTTTCGATTTCTCGACTTTTTACTCTTCGGATTTTCAATTTTTCGTTTTTTAAACTTTAGATTTTTCAATTGACTGTTTTATACTTCATTTCTCAATTTTTCAACTTTTCGATATTTTAACTTTTTAATTTTTAAAATTTTAGGTTTTTCGATTTCTCGAGTTTTCAGATATTTTAATTTTTCTGTTTTCGGAATATTTAAATTTGGATTTTCTATTTTTTTTAATTTTTCGATTTTTAATTTTGCCATCTTGGTTCTTCGATTTCTTAAATTTTTTGACTTTTCGATTTTCAGATTTCCCGATTTTTCAAGTTTTCGATTTCTCAATTTTTGCAGCATTATTAGTTTTAGGAACTTTTCAATTCCTGTTTTTTTTTTAATTTTTCTATATTTTAATTTTTCGATTTTTTAAATTTTTGATTCTTCGATAATTCAATTTTTCAATTTTTCGGTTTTTGTATCACTGAAATCTTTTTCATGTCGCGTTATTGCTAAACGTTTTTCCAATGTTAATATTATACAATATTTGGAAAATAAATAACTAGCAAAATTGTGACTAAAAATATGTAAAATTAATACAAAATACAACAAAATGCTTCTAAAACATAAAAATAACTCCACTTTCCCGAAAAAAATCTATGGATTATTACGATTTCAACAATATTGTTAATTTATGATTATGGTTTTACAAGTATCGCTCATTTAGGACGTTTTGTTAGTATGAAACACAATTAAAGAATTAATTAATTAATTAAACAAAAAATATAGTTGCATGTCAAAATCGAGTTCTTTCTTCAGTTTCACTGTTACGAAATAAAGAAATCTGTGGATAAAGATAAGATGCCTCCAAAATTATTTTGAACATTGAAAGTCCTATTGATTTCATACCCAACACAAACTAGTGAATTATAATATGGTGAAATTTCGAAAACAGAAAATTGAATTATTTGGAGAACAGGATTTTTGAAATTATTTTTTCTCTGCTCCATAAATTGCTCTGAACAACGTGTAATAGATTTGGTGTGCCATTTTTTAAAAGTGTGTATATATTGTTTCACAACTTATTTTTTTTTTAAGTAGAACACCCTATATATTTTTACATATTCTTTTTTTGTTGCAGGTTTTGTAAGCATAGTTTATATATAATAAGTTCAATGTAAAAAATCGAAAAAGTTTCAATTTTTAAATATCAATATTTCAGTGAGTTTCATTAAAAAAAAATCTATCAGTGGTTTGATAGTCCTGTATACATATGTCTGGTCTTCAAAAACTGAAAAATCGAAACTTCGACATGAAATCGGAAAACTGAAAATTTGACTTCAAAATTTGAAAAATTAAAAAATAGAAATTATGAAAAACTGAAAAATAAAAATCGAGAAATCGAAAAATTTGAAATCTAAAACATTGAACAATTAATATATCACAAAATTGAAAAATGGAGAAAGCAAGTCAAACATCAAACAAAATCTAAAATTTAAAAATCGAAAAACTGAAAAATGCACAAATCGAAAGCCCAGAATTTAAAAAATTGAGAACTTGGAAATCGGATAACTGAAAAATCGAAACATCGAAAAATTGGAAAATCGAAAAATTGAAACACCGAAAAATTAAAAAAATGGGACATTGAAAAATCGAAAAAACGAAGAACTGAACAACTGAAAATTCGAAATTTCGAAATGAAATCGGAAAACTGAAAATTTCGGAACGTCAAAATTAGAAAACTTATAAAATAGAAATACTGAAGAACTGAAAAATAAAAATCGAGAAACCGAAAAATTTAAAATCTAAAACATTGAACAATTAAAATATCGCAAAATTGAAGAATGGAGAAAGCAAGCCAAACATCAAAAAATAAAAATTCGAAAATCTAAAATTTAAAAATCGAAAAACTGAAAAATGGACAAATCGAAAGTCCAGAATTTAAAAAATTGAAAACTTGGAAATCGGATAACTGAAAAATCGAAACATCGAAAAATTGGAAAATCGAAAAATTGAAACAACGAAAAATTAAAAAAATGGGAAATTGAAAAATCGAAAAATCGAAGAACTGAACAACTGAAAATTCGAAATGAAATCGGAAAACTGAAAATTTCGGAACGTCAAAATTAGAAAACTTATAAAATAGAAATACTGAAGAACTGAAAAATAAAAATCGAGAAATCGAAAAATTTAAAATCTAAATTCAATGTCTCGATTTATCAATTTTTGCATTTCTAACTTTTCGATTTTTCGATTTTGGCCTATTTCGGTTTCTCAGTTTTCCGATTTTTCGACTTCTCGACTTTTCGACTCCTCGATTCCTCGAACTTGTTGTTCGATTTCTCGATGTCTCAGTTTTTGAATTTTTCAATGTTTCGATTTTTGAATTATCCAATTTTTCAATTTACCAATTTTTTAGATTTTCGAGTTTCGATTTCTCAATTTGTTGATTTTTCAGTTTTTCGATTTTGAAATTTTAGATTTTCCGATTTTATATTGTTGATTTTTTGGTGTTTGAATTTCTCCATTTCAATTTTACGATATTTTAATTTTTCAATGTTTTAAATTTTAGATTTTTCGATTTTTTTATTTTTCAGTTCTTCAGTTTTTCGATTTTTCAGGTTCTTGATTTTTCAATTTTTTAATTTCCCAATTTTTGGATATTTCCTTCAATTTTGTGATTTTTCAGTGTTTCGATTCTTAATTTTTTTTTATTTTTCAATTTTTCGATATTACAGTTTTGAGATTTTTTATTAGGCCTTTCGACTTTTCGATTCTTCGAGTTCTGCATTTTTCGATTTCTCGACTTTTTACTCTTTGGATTTTCAATTTTTCGTTTTTTAAAACTTAACTTTAGATTTTTCAATTGACTGTTTTATACTTAACTTCTTAATTTTTCAACTTTTCGATATCTTAACTCTTTAATTTTTAAAATTTTAGGCTTGTCAATTTTCGATGTTTCGATTTTTCAATTATCCCATTGTTCAATTTCTCGATTTTTAAATTTTAGTTTTTCCAATTTTTATTTTTTTGATGTTTGGATTTCTCGATTTTACAATTTTTCGATTTTTAATTTTGCCATATTGGACGAAAGAAACCCGTACGTCGCCCTGGTACGACGGCTGTGAGTTCTAGTATGTACGGCGATGATGACTCATCGTCGACGACGGCGGTCGGGCGGTGTTCGTTACAGGAAAGCCTGGGGAAAGTTGCGACGGGTAATCCAGAAAGACCTCGATTGCGAAACTTCTAGAAGAGAAATATGGCTTTAAATACAGCCCATCTTCGGCAACGATTATTATTCAAACAGTTCAGTGATGACAGAGTCCATCCAAGTTGCACCGGAATTATCTAGTACTTAATCGCTGAGTAAATTTGAGTTACTAAGAAATAAATTGTTGAGTTTTAATCACCGATCATCGTAACAATATTAAAACCAGAACACTCTACAAAGTTGAAAAAGATTGTGAAATTGTGAATTGTGAAAAATAGTTATTATTTAATGCTTTTATTTACAAACACAATATAACATCTCACATGTTTTACACGATTTTGACATTTAAAAAATCGAAAAATAAAAACATAGATGAATTAAAAAAAAAACAGGAATTGAAACGTTCCTAAAACTGATAATGTTGAAATCTGAAAATAGAAAAATCAAAAAATTTAAAACTGAAAAATTTAAATATCGAAAAATTGTAAAATCGGGGAAACCAAACATCAAAAATTCAAAAAAATAAAAATTGGAAAAACTAAAATTTAAAAATCGAGAAATTGAACAATGGGATAATTATTATTGAAAAATCGAAATATCGAAAATTTAAAAATATAAGTATAAAACAGTCAATTGAAAAATTTAAATAAAAACGAAAAATTGAAAGTCCAAAAAGCAAAAAGTCGAGAAATCGAAAAATCCAGAACTCGAAGATTCGAAAAGACGAAATTCTTACTAAAACTCCCAAAACTGTAATATCGAAAAATTGAAAAACAAAAGAAAAATTCAAGAATCGAAAAACTGAAAAATTACAAAATTGAACGAAATAAAAAAAAATGGGAAATTAAAAACTTGAAAAATCAAGAACCTGAAAAATCGAAAAACTGAAGAACTGAAAACTGAAAAATCGAAACTTTGGGAAGTCCAGAAATGGGAAAATCAAAAATAGATTAATTAGTTGAGAAATAGAAAAACTGGAAGTTCAGAAAAGTCAAAATTTAGAAAATTAAAACATATTGAAGAACTGAAAAATTAAAAAATCGAAAAAATAAAATTCGAAAATCTAAAATTTAAAAATCGAAAAACTGAAAAATCAACAAATCGAGAAATCGAAACTCGAAAAAGTAAAAAATTGGAAAATTGAAAAATCGGATAATTCAAAAATCGAAACATCGACAAATTCAAAAACTGAGACATCGAGAAATCGAACAACAAAAGATCGAGGAATCGAGGAGTCGAAAAATCGGAAAATTGAGAAACCGAAATAGGCCAAAATCGAAAATTCGAAAAGTTAGAAATGCAAAAATTGATAAATCGAGAGATTCAACAATCAAAACATCGAAACATCCGAATCTCGATAAATCGAGGTATCAAAAAATTGAGCAATCGAAAATTTAAAACTTCGGAAAATTGAAAAATTAAACATAGAAGCACTGAAAATGTTTTATTTCTTAGAACAATTATTTTTTAATTATGGACAATGAAAGACATCCATGGATTTTTAAAAATTTGCGTGGATAGAATTTTCGTTGTGTCAAATTACCGTCAATTTGAAAGTTTCACTATATGCAACCATCAAAGACAAACTTTCACAAATCCAGGAGTGTTTTTGATCATGTTTTTATTGCTTCTTCGTGACGAATTTGAAGCAATTCAAAGAAAAGTAAGAGTAAATAATTAACTAATTGTTCATAATTCCTTAACACTAGTCCTGAGAATTACACAGGACATTGTTTCCGATGTGCAGCAGCAAATTTTCTTTGCAAATGCCAATGTCGATTTTGTCGGGGTTGAAGCATCACAGAAAACAGAAAATTTCATCGGTGGTTGGAAAATGTTGCATTTTTTTTTTCAAATTGCCTTGCCTGAATGCCGGTGGTTTTAGAGTCAGTGGTCGATCCTAAAATAATAATAATGCCCTTCACTGCAGCCACACAGAAATCTATAAACAAAAAAAAAAGAGTGCGTCGACCCAGGGACGCATGAATGGAGTTTTAACTCTGCGTTATAATAAAAAATCAAAAATATGTTGCATTTGTATTTTTTGACAAAAAGGTGATTAATGATGATGATTGTGAAGAATAGCGGCTTAGTAGCCTAGTGGTGAAGGCACCTGCCTGGCAAACGTTAAGTTAAAACTTCATTAAACACAAACAAAATATACATAATAAATAAACAATTCATATACAATGAATTAAAATACATTTAAATATAAAAAATAAAGCGTTAGTAGGTTTATTTATCAGTAGAACTGTTTTTCATTTATATCGCGCAATTATATGTAATTGTCCTAAATTGTGAAGGCTGTCACTGTAACATATGTAGGTAAAACTACTTTTATACAGGGTAAGTCACTAACCACACGTTTCTCGATATTTCAATAATTATTATTACTGAAAATACCAAAGAAAGGTTTAAAGTTATTATTAAGAATTAGTTTTCTCATGTTTTCCAGTTTTATTTTACAACTTTTTCTATCGCTTGTTCAAGTAAGCGTTTTTTACATTGCGGGTTTTGTAGGAGTTTAATTTAACAAAAAAAAAAGTTTTCTAACAGATAAATTCGAACCTGATACAAAGTTCAAAAATATGAGAAAACCAACAATTTAAAAATGAATTTATTTATTTTTTGACTTCTGTAAGTGATCGAAGGATGATTGAAACTCAAGTTAAGCACTAGATATGTCCCTAATTAATATACGACCAACGAGTTTGTTTATGTTGCATTTTTTATTAGCTTTTATTAGTCGTTTTAATCACATTTTTATTATTCATTATTACGTTTATGACATGCCCTGCTTTCATTTTCAAATCGGTATTTTTAATTTTAATTCATTGTCACAATTTTTCTAGTAACTAGTCAACAGTTGCCCTTATTTAAACAAAATTTTTTAATTAGCCAACAATGAAGACTTCGTGTATTTCATCAGCTACGCTGATAATAGTGTATGCTTTAGCATTTTTGGTTCGTCAGCACTCTAGTTATAAAATTCAAGGTATGTTAGATCGAAATATATATTCTTAACTCAGTTGACATATACCTAGTAAAACTTTTCAACTTGATTATGACTACAACGGACAGTAATAATCTTTTGCCTTACAAGGGTGGTTTGGCTTAAGCCACTTAAATCCTGAAAGTTCAACTAAGTATATGTCAAGTGAGCTAACTATAGTTTTCTTAACAAAAATATGAATAGCTATTGAAGACTGGGACGAACCCGAAGCACCTCTAGAATACAGATTTGATGATGAAGAAAATCAAAGCAACAATCCCACGTCGGAACCAGAAGACCTCGATTTCATAGGTCATGATAAAACTCGACCACCGATTTGGACTAATACTAAAGGACTCGATTGCAATAAAACTCTGCATGGTGGTAGTATCCAATATTTTAAAAGTAGTATAGCTGCCCAATATCCAGGTGTGTAGAATTCATGTTTGTAAAATTGCGTTGCTAAAGCAATGTTTTTGTATAGTTACAAGATGGTGTGGGGACCTCGACCTTATAGAATTGTTCGGCGACTTTGAAAAGTTTTCCAAGATTGCGAGTTGTTGCAGGGCACATGATACTTGTCCGGAAAATATGGACCCTGATTCGAGTAAATATGGATTAGTGAATACCTGTCTTTTTGAAAGAACACTCTGTGATTGTGATAAGAGATTTTACGAGTGTTTGAAAAATGATGATAGTTTTGGAGCTAATAGTATTGGATATACGTACTTTACGATTTTGGGACCGCAGTGCTTTAAACAAGATTATCCTATAATCGACTGTGTAGAAGAAAGTGGGTAAGTAACGTAATGAAATTTTGAGATATGTGGTAGTTATTGTTTGTCTGAATTTGCAGAGGGAGATGTGAAGAATATTTGACAGATACTGACGGAGAAAAAATCTATCAGTGGTTTGACAGCCCTATATATTAATATTTGTTACAATGTATGTCAGATTATAGCTTCAGTGTGTGTTTTTTTTAAACACGTCTTTATACGTCTGTGGTTTAAAATATATAAGCTATTAATTCTATTTAAAAAACTATGTTGTGTGTCAGACAAAAAGAACAGTCTGTATAGCTGAAAATAATTTAAATGGACCCTGTATATTTAGGGAACAAATGAAAGAATACCCCATTAGAGTCAAAATATCAACACTCTATTTTTCGGTCGTTACTGAATGTTGTTACTGTTCGTAGTTTAATATACAGGGTGAGTCACTAAGAGTACCGTCTTCGATATCTAATTAATTATTATCAGTCATAAAAAAAGTCAGATGCTAAAGTTGAACCGATGTTTGAATACTTTTTTAGAACTGAACATCGATATTTGAAAATTGTAATAATTAAAATATTTTATAATTGTTAAAACTTTTTTCACTTTAACCAATTATAAGTCACCAAGCGCACAGTCGACGGCTGTGCGCTTGGTGACTCACCCTGTATTTTAGAAAATATTGAATTCTCAGTGTTACACACGCAAAATAGCTGATTAGAGTTAAAATATCAACCAGTCGAGAAATCGAAAAATTCAGAACTCGAAAAATCGAAAAGTCGAATTACTAAAAAATCCCAAAACCGAAGGATGAAAAATAGAAGAAAAATTGAAGAATCGAAAAACTGAAGAACGGAAAAATCGAAACTTTGGGAAATCGAGAAATGGGAAAACCCAAAAACAGATTATTTGCGAAATCGGAAAACTAAACATTCAGAAACGTCAAAATTTGAAAAGTTAAAAATATTGAACAACGGAAAAATCGAAAAATATAAGAATCTAAAATTTAAATCATTGAAAAATTAAAATATCGTAAAATTAAAAAATGGACAAACCGAAAAATCAAAAAAATTAAAATTTGAAAATCTAAAATTTAAAAATCGAAATACTGAAAAATTAACAAATCGGGAAAACGAAACTCGTCAATTTAAAAAATTGGAAAATTGAAAAATCGGTTCGAAACATCGAAAAACCCAAAAACCGAAAAGTAAAAAATCGAAAAATCGAAACATCGAAAATTTCAAATCAAAAGATCGAGAAATCGAGGAGTCGAAAGAGAAGTCGAAAAATGGAAAAATTGTGAAACCGAAATATGCGAAAATCGAAAAATCGAAAAGTTAGAAATGTAAAAATTGTTAAATCGAAAGACTGAACAATCAAAACGTTCAAATCAAAAAATTCGGAAAATTGAAAAATTATATCTATTTTAATTCATGAACTGAAAACTCGAGAAATCTAAAAAGCTAGAATATTAAAAACTGAAAAATCTAAATATCGAAAAGTTGAAAAATCGAGAAATCGAAATCTAAAACAGTCGAAAAATTGAAAAATCTAATATTTAAAACTCGAAAAACTGAAAATCCAAAACATAAAAAATTAAAAAGCCGAAAAATCCGGAAGTCGAAAAACCGAAAAGTTAGAGGATGAAAATATTGAATGAAAAGACTTCAAAACTGAAAGAAATATCCAAAAATTGAGAAATTAAAAATTGAAAAATTGAGAAATTAAAAATTGAAAAATTGAGAAATCGAAAAACCAAAAAAGCAAAGTCGAAAAATCGAAGAACTGAAGAACTGCAAAATCGAAACTTCGACATGAAATCAGAAAACTGAAAATTTCACTTCAAAATTTGAAAAATTAAAAAATAGAAATACTGAAAAACTGAAAAATAAAAATCGAGAAATCGAAAAATTTGGAATTTAAAACATTGAACAATTAAAATATCGCAAAATTGAAAAATGGAAGAAAGCAAGCCAAACATCAATAATTAAAATTCGAAAATCTAAAATTTAAAAATCGAAAAACTGAAAAATGGACAAATCGAAACTCCAAAATTTAAAAAATTAAAAACTTTAAAATCGGGTAACTGAAAAATCGATACATCGAAAAATTGGAAAATCGAAAAATTGAAAAGCCTAACAGTAAAAAATCGAAAAACCGAAAAATCACAAAATTCAACGAAATTTCCAAAGATTGCGAACTTGAGAAACATCGAAACTTTGGGAAATCAAGAAATGGGAAAATCAAAAAAGTTGATTAATTGAGAAATCGGAAAAAGTGAAAATTCAGAAACGTCAAAATTTGAAAAGTTAAAAAATATTGAAAAACTGAAAAATTGAAAAATATAAAAGTCTAAGAGTTAAAACATTGAAAAATTAAAATATCGTAAAATTGAAAAAAAGGGCAAATCGAAAAATCAAAAAAATATAAAAAATAAGAGAAAAATAAAAATTTGAAAATCGAAATACTTAAAAATCAACAAATCAGGAAAACGAAACTCGTTAATTTTAAAAAATTGGAAAATTGAAAAATCGGATCAAAACATGGAAAAATCCAAAAGTCGAAATGTAAAAAATCGAAACATCGAAACGTCGAAAAATACAAAAACTTACGACATCGAAAATCGAAGTATCAAAAGATCGAGAAATCGAGGAGTCGAAAGGGTGAGAAGTCGAAAAATGGAAAAATTGAGAAACCGAAATACGCCAAAATCGAAAAATCGAAAAGTTAGAAATGGGAAAATTGTTAAATCGAGAGAGTGAACTATCAAAACAACGAAACAACGGAGATCTCAAAAAATTGAAAAATTGAAAATTAAAAATTCGGAAAATTGAAAAATTATATTTTAATTCAAGAACTGAAAACTCGAGAAATCGAAAAAGCCAGAATATTAAAAGCTGAAAAACCAAGATATCGAAAAGTTGAAAAATTGAGAAATCGAAAACAGCCGAAAAATTGAAAACGAAAAGCTGAAAATCCAAAAAATAAAAAATTGAAAAATTGAAATCCAGAAGTCGAATAATCAAAATATTGGAAAATCCAAAACAGAAAGAAATATCCAAAAACTGAATAATCAAAAAATTGGAAAATTGAGAAATCGAAAAATCAAAAAAGCAGAGTCGAAAAATCGAAAAACCGAAGAATTGAAACTTCGAGAAGTGGAGAAATGGGAAAATCAAAAAGAGATTAATTGGGAAATCGGAAAACTGAAAATTTAGCAGCGTGAAAAAATAAAAATTCGAAAATCTAAGATTTAAAAATCGAAAAACTGAAAAATGGACAAATCGAAAGTCCAGAATTTAAAAATTGAAAACTTGAAAAATCGGTTAACTGAAATATCGAAGCATCGAGAAATTGGAAAGCCCAATAGTAAAAAATCGAAAAACCGAAAAGTCTAAAAATAGAAACATGTGAAAATTCAAAAAATGAGACATCGAGAAATAGAATAATCAGAGGATCGAGAAATAGAATAATCAAAGGATCGAGAAATAGAGGGGTGGAAAGCCTAGAAGAAAAGTTAGAAATTATAAGATTGTTAAATCGACACACTGAACAATCAAAACATCGAAACTTCGGAGGTCTCAAAAAATTGAAAAATTGAAAATTGTAAATTCAGAAAATTGAAAAATTATATTTTAATTCAAGAACTGAAAACGCTAGAAATTGAAAGATTATTAAAATCTGAAAAATCAAAACATCGAAAAGTTGAAAAATTTGGAAATCAAAATATAAAAGATTAGACAAATTGAAAAATCTATTGTTCAAAAAACGAAAAGCTGAAAATCCAAAAAATAAAAAATTGAAAAATCAAAAAATCCAGAAGTCGAAGAATTAAATTATTGGAAACCCCAAAACTGAAAGAAAGATCCAAAAATTGAGTAATTAAAAAATTGAAAAATTGAGAAATCGAAAAATCAAAAAAGCAAAGCCGAAAAATCGAAAAATCTAAGAATTGAAGAAATGAAAAATCGAAACTTCGAGAAGTGGAGAAATGGGAAAATCAAAAATAGATTAATTGAGAATCGGAAAACTAAAAATTTAGCAATGTCAAAAAATAAGAATTCGAGAATCTAAAATTTAAAAATCGAAAAACTGAAAAATGGACAAATCGAAAATCCAGAGTGTAAAAATTGCAAAATTGAAAAATCGGATAACTGAAAAATCGAAACATCGCAAAATTGAAAAACCCAATAGTAAAAAACCGAAAAACCGTGAAATCCAAAAATCGAAACATGTAAAAATTAAAAAAATGAGGCATCGAGTAATCGAAAAATCAGAGGATCGAGAAACAGAGAAGTGGAAAGCCTAGAAGGAAAGCTAAAAATTGAAAAATTGTTAAATCGATAGACTGAACATTCAAAATATCGAAACATCGGAGATCTCAAAAAATTGAAAAATTGAAAATTGAAAATTTGGAAAACTGAAAAATTATATTTTAATTCAAGAACTGAAAACGCGAGAAATCGAAAAAGCTAGAATATTAAAATCTGAAAAATCAAAATATCGAAAAGTTGAAAAATTGGGAAATCGAAACATAAAACAGTCGAAAAATTGAAAAATCTAATGTTCAAAAAACGAAAAACTAAAAATCCAAAAAATAAAAAATTAAAAAATCGAAAAATCCAGAAGTCGAAGGATCAAAATATTGGAAAACCCAAAACTGAAAGAAATATACAAAAATTGAGTAATTAAAAAATTGGAAAATTGGGAAATCGAAAAATCAAAAAACCAAAGTCGAAAAATCGAAACTTCGGTGGAGAAATGTGAAAATCAAAAATGGATTAATTGAGAAATCGGAAAACTGAAAATTTAGCAACGTCAAAAAATAAAAATTCGAAAATCTAAAATTTAAAAATCGAAAAACTGAAAAATATACAAATCGAAAGTCCAGAAAAACTTGAAAAATCGAATAACTGAAAAATCGAAAAATCGAAAAATCGAAAAGCCAAATAGTAAAAAATCAGAGGATCGAGAAATTGAGGAGTGGAAAGGCGGGAATTAAAAAAAATTGAAAAATTGATAAATCAAGAAAATGAACAATGAAAACAATGCGATAAATCTACAAATAAAAAAATTGAAAATTTGAAAAATTTTATAAAAGAAAAATTGGAAAAATCGAAAATTTAAAAAATTCGGAAAATTGAAAATTTGAAAAATTAAAACATCTAAAAGTTGAAAAATTGAGGACTTCGAAGTATAAAACAGTCGAAAAATTGAAAAACTTAGAGTTTAAAGAAAAATTGAAAATCCAAAAAGTAAAAACCCGAGAAATTAAATATTCCAGGGGTCCAAAAATCGAAAAATCGCAAAATCGAAATATTGAAAAATCCCAAAACTGAAAGAAATATCCAAACAATCGAGAAAATCAAAAATTGGATAAGTGAGAAGTGGAAAACTAAAAAACGCAAAGTCGAAAAATCGTAAGCTTAAAAAACCGAAAAATTGAAAAAAACAAAAAAACTGGAAAATCAAAAAAATGCAGAGTTGAAACAAAACGAAATTTTGGGAAGTTGAGAAATGGAAAAATAAGTTTAGTTTAGAAACCGGATAAAACTGAAATAAATGAAATATTTAAAAATCGTAAAAATTGAAGAGGACAAAAATTGAAACATCGGAAAATTGAGAAATTGAAAAATAAAAAAATCTAGAAATCGAAAAGCGTACCGTTCTTTGAGTAACACACATTAAAAGTGTTGTCTATATATATATATAGGACACGATATATATTTTTACATATTCTCATCAGATTATTTATTAAAAAAATCTTAAACGTCATAATTTTTAAATATCAATATTTCATTTTTTTTTCAAAGAGAACACCCTGTATTTATTACTGTTCTATTTGTTTCAAAATGTCGATGTGTTTGAAAAATAAAACATCGGAATAACTTTCAATTTCAAATATGTTTAGAAAATACTTTAGTAAAATCAGAGAGAGAAGAGAAAATAGAGTGAGATATAGCAATAAAATATAGGGTGTTATATTCGCATAAACTGAATATCGTTATTTAAAAACACCTTATATTAAAATTCGATGATGTTTATACAATTTTTTTGTGAGCTATGCTGTAGGTGTGGTTTTAGCTAACAAAAAAAATCTATTCGTTAATTTGTTCAAGACTGGCTTAAAACTATAGAAATAGATCTTCCACAGGTGTTTCAGAATCGCCTGACTCAATAAAAGCAAAGTTCAAATTATCTCTCTCGGTCGTCAATCAGTCATCCAATTTCCGTGTACCGCTGATAATATTATTTATTTTAGAACATTCCACCAACACTTAAAATCTTGGGATAAAGATCAATCAAAAATTCGTTTTTAATCTCTAAAGTTTGAGACACTAAAAATCCTAAGCATATTCATCTGTTAAACTGTCCAATAATAAGATCTTCATATACCGAGAGAGCAACAAAAACACGACAAACTTTCAAATAGCAATAGCAAATATTTAAGTACCTATTCATAGTTTCTTAACCCCTTTATCATTAACCAATACATTGAAATATGTGTAATAATAAGAAACTGCGAAGATAACGAACGACGTTTCGAGAATGATCAAAGTTTCATATTAATTTTTTTATCTTATTTATATTTTATTTCTCGTTGATTTGCAAAACATCATTATCGATAATTCGCATTGATCCAGAAGTCAGTACTGAGTCAGCATCCAAATGGCTAAAATCGAGAAAACAGTGCCAAAGTTATTCACCGCTCAAAGAGCAAAAATGCTTTTCAAACTTTCGTCGGTATCGACGGTTTTGTTTGTAATAGTTGGTGTTTTAGCAATCTGGGCCCAAAATCAAGAATACTTCGAATTTACAGGTGTGTATTTCCATATTTTATCTATTTACGTCATATTTTTAGTTTCAGACAAAATTCTTAAACCTATCAAGTTCATTCTTCCGTCTCAAGAAATAGAAGCAAGTAGTATTGATACACTTGATACACACGAACATGACAGTGGAATCCAGGATGCCACAGAACATATTAGTATAGTCCACGATGAAAAAGAGCACGGTCACCAGGACTCAAAAGGTCGTGACATGGTGAGAGCCACCTCTAAGAAACTCAAGGAAATTAAAGACAAAATTCGACAAAAATTCGCACATAGCGAGGGTCTGGATCTCGACAAAAATTTGCACGACGGTAAACTGGAAAGTTTTAAGTCGAACGTGCAAGTAATATATCCAGGTTAGAATTTTTCATGTCACAAATCCAAAAATGCACAAACATTATTTTCAGGGACCAAGTGGTGTGGAGATGGCAATATCTCAAGCTCCTACGACGATTTGGGCGAATTTGCCGAAACTGATAGTTGTTGTAGGGAACATGATAGTTGTCCAGATAACATAGAAGCGGATTCTAGAAAGCACGATTTAATAAATACTGGGCTTTTTACGAGGTCGCACTGTGACTGTGACAAAAAGTTCCACCAGTGTTTGAAGAATGCTAATTCTATTGTTTCTGAGAGCATTGGGTATACGTATTTTACAGTTTTGGGTCCTCAGTGTTTTCGAGAGGATTATCCTATAGTTGACTGCATCGAGGAAAGAAAGTCTGTATTAAATTAAATTCTGGTATGCGGTGGTTATTTTTGATTTGTTGTAGGGGACGATGTGAAAAATACTTGACAGATCCTGATCTAGGGGACAAAATGTATCAATGGTTCGACAACTCTGTGTTTTAATAGTAATTATAGACACCGGGAGAGTTTTACTTTTACACAATAACATGTATTTTATTCTAATTCTACAAATAAAGTACATACATTTTATATACAGTTATTGAAGCAAAAGCGATAAAGCTAAATTAATAACAAATATTAAAAAATTTAAAACAAAAATTGTGACCAAGTCATTAGTGTCGTTTGAAATTTTATTCCCACGATTATCGCTGCTAATTTTGTTTTTTTCTGTTTTATGGTTTATCGATTATGTAGGATGTGACTCATAAACGCGGCTTTTGTGAAGCTACCGCTCTCCCAATCAAAATATTTTAATTATCTGTTTGTTTTGATCGTTGATCTTATTTATTAACCAGAATTACAAAAAGTCGAATTAAAAATAAATGTAGTCTACCTTACTCGAAATGTTTGTTGTCACCCCTGACCCTAATTCGTTGGTAATTTTTATGTTGTCTCTAACCTAAATTCCATAAAGGCAGATAATCAGTAATCAAGCATTTTTATTATTTTTTTAAATTGTTAATTGTATGCGCCGGTTGAATTTACACAGTAAAGTGTAAATACTAAGTTAAAACTGGATATGAAGCATAAACTCTTCTAATTTTAAACAAAGTTTACCATGTGTTACGTAATTTTTGTACATAGCTACAAAAAATTGTTATTCACTTTAACGATTTCGTGTTATGGCATCATTTTTCATAATTATTTATTCAAATTATTAAAATAAGTCAAACAAATGGGTATTTTAAGATTACTTTTAAATAAGTAGTTTGGTCTTATTCTTCCTTGATATTACGTACCTACTTATAATTTATTATTAAAAAGGAAGTGTACTGTTAAATTTCTGAAAAACTAGAAGGTGGAAAAGACACTAAAATAATTATTGTCTGAGAATTAAATGATAAGATCAAAATTTAAATGAAAATTAAAATAAAATACGGCAATTTTTAGGATTTAAAAAATAACTGCCTCCAATCTAATATTTTTAAAACTTGCTCTAGAACTATAAAGATGCTAAAATTTTAGAATTAATAAGTCGACATTTGTTTTCCAAATTTTTTGTAGATTTTTAGACAACTTGTTCAAAAGCTCAAAATTACCCATATGAAAATCGACCTCTTTTCGACAACTTTCAAAAATTATTTAAATAAAATTATGATTTTGTATATTTCCACCTCCAGAAGTTGCTTTCGGTCTTGTTTCTTTGGAAACTTTTACAAATTTTCCAGGATCACCAAACAAAATATTTCAATTTTTGATTTTTTTTTAAATTGTATTTGAAGCTGAACATTTCTAAAATTTTGCTTCGGAGCCATAAACAATCTATATTTTTGGAATCAGTTCGTAGAGATCTGTTTTTCAGAATTTTTTATGAATTTTTACGCAACGTTTTGAAAATAAGTTATTTTCGGTCTCATTTCTTCGAAAACTCCTACCATTTTTCTAAAATCACACAAGAAAAAATGTCAGTTTTTTTGATTAAAAAAAAATGTAATTTCAAGTCAAATATTTTTAAAATCTTGCTTCTGGATAGTAGATGCCGTTTGTCGAATCAGTACGTCGAGATCTGTTTTTCAGATTTTTTTGTGGATTTTTAGATATTTTTTTCAAAAGCTCAAAATTTCAATAAAAATGAAAATAAAATACGGCAAGTTTTAGGATTTAAAAAATAACTGCCTCGGGACCAATACTTTTAAAACTTGCTCTAGAATCATAAATATGCTATTACTTCCGAACCAATACGTCGACATCTATTTTTCAAATTTTTTTGTAGATTTTGAGACAACTTCTTCAAAAGCTCAAAATTTCCCATATGAAAATCGACCTCTTTTCGATAAGTTTCGAAAATTATCTAAATAGAATTATGATTTTGTGTATTTCCGCCTCCAGAAGTTGCTTTTGATATTCTTCGGAAATTTTTACAATTTTTCCAGAATCACCTAACAAAATATATCAATTTTTGTTTTTTTCTTTAAATTGTATTTGAAGCCGAACATTTCTAAAATTTTGTTTCGGAGCCATAAACAATTTATATTTTTGGAATCAGTTCGTAGAAATCTGTTTTCCAGAATTTTTTATGAATTTTTACACAACGTCTTGAAAATAAGTCATTTTGGGCATCATTTCTTCGAAAACTCCTACCATTTTTCTAAAATCACCCAACAAAAAATGTCAGTAATTATGATTAAAAAAAAAATGTAACTTCAAGCTAAATATTTTTAAAATCTTGCTTCTGGATAGTAAACATGCCGTTTGACGAATCAGTACGTCGATATTTGTTTCTCAGATTTTTTTGTGGATTTTTAGGTATCTCTTTCAAAAGCTCAAAATTTCAATGAAAATTAAAATAAAATACGGCAATTTTTAGGATTTAAAAGATAACTGCCTTCAACCTAATATTTTTAAAACTTGCTCTAGAACCATAAAGACGCTATAATTTTCGAATTAATACGTCGACATCTGTTTTCCAAATTTTTTTGTAGATTTTTAGACAACTTCTTCAAAAGCTCAAAATTTCCCATATGAAAATCGACGTCTTTTCGACAACTTTCGAAAATTATCTAAATAGAATTATGATTTTGTATATTTCCATCTCCAGAAGTTGCTTTCGGTCTTGCTTCTTCGGAAAATTTTACAATTTTTCCAGAATCACCTAACAAAATATATCAGTTTCTGATTTTTTTTAAATTGTATTTGAAGCCGAACATTTCTAAAACTTTGCTTTGGAGCCATAAACAATCTATATTTTTGGAATCAGCTCGTAGAGAACTGTTTTCCATAATTTTTTATGAATTTTTACACAACGTTTTGAAAATAAGTCACTTTGGGCCTCATTTCTTCGAAAACTCCTAAAATTTTTCTAAAATCACCCAAGAAAAAATGGCAGTTTTTATGATTAAAAAAAAATGTAACTTCAAGCCAAAATATTTTTAAAATCTTGCTTCTGGATAGTACATGCCATTTGTCGAATCAGTACGTCGAGATCTGTTTTTCAGATTTTTTTGTGGATTTTTAGATATCTTTTTCAAAAGCTCAAAATTTCAATGAAAATTAAAATAAAATACGGCAATTTTTTGAATTTAAAAAATAACTGCCCCCAACCTAATATTTTTAAAACTTGCTCTAGAACCATAAAGATGCTATAATTTTCGAATCAATATGTCAACATCTGTTTTTCAAATTTTTTTGTAGATTTTTATACAACTTCTTCAAAAGCTCAAAATTTCCCATATGAAAATCGACCTCTTTTCGACAACTTTCGAAAATTATCTAAATAGAATTATGATTTTGTATATTTCCATCTCCAGAAGTTGCTTTCGGTCTTGCTTCTTCGGAAACTTTTACAATTTTTCCAAAATCACCTAACAAAATATATCAATTTTTGATTTTTTTGAAAATTGAATTTCAAGCCGACCATTTCTAAAATATTGCTTCGGAACCATAAAAGTGCTAGATTTTTCGAATCAATAAGTCAATATCTGTATTCTAGATTTTTTTGTAAAAATTTTGCCCCTTTTTTCATCACTTTTGAAAATTATCTAAATAGAATTAAGTTTAAATTGTATGAAAATATATGTTTCGAATCAGTACGTCGAGATCTCTGTTACAGAATTTTTTATATATTTCCATACAACGTGGGTAAAAACTCAAAATTTCGATAATCACCCTTATAAAGATTTAGACCTTTTTTTGACTATTTTCGAAAATTATCTAAATAGATTTTTTTTAAATTCGATTTCCAGAAGTTCCTTTCGGTCTCATTTATTCCAAAAATTCCTACCATTTTTCCAGAATCACTGAACAAAACGGAATTATAAACATGTTTGTATTTTTCGCATTAGTACGTCAAGATCTGTATTCCAGAATAGTTTTGTGGATTATTAGACGATTTTTTCAAAAGCTGAAAGTTTCAGTATACTCCCCTAATGAAAATTTGGACCTTTCTTCGACCGCTTTCGAAAATTACCTAAATAGAATAATGTTTTTATATATTTCGATTTCTACAGGTTACTTTTGGTCTGATTTCTTCGAAAACTATTACCATTTTTCCAGAACCACCTAGCAAAATATGTCAGCTTTTTTTATTTGAAAAAAAAAACAAGCATTTCAAGCCGCATATTTCCAAAATTTTGCTTCGGCTATATTTTTCGAATTAGAACGTTGAAATCTGTATTCCAGAATTTTCCTAGATTTTTAAATAACTTTTTCAAAAGATAAAAATTTTAATAGTCGCCTTTAATCGACCACTTTCGAAAATTACCTAAATCGATTTTTATGTAGATTTTGATCTCCAGAATTTACTTTCGGCCTCATTTATTCGAATACTTTTACCATTTTTCCATGATAACTTACCAAAATATTTTAGTTTTTGTTATTTAAAAAAAAAATTGATCAGGTTGAACATTTCTAAAAATTTTGCTTCGGACCATAAACATGCTATATTTTTCGTGCATCGAGATGTGCATTCCAGAATTTTGTATGAATTTTTACAGATCAAAATTTCAATATTCCCAGTTAGGAAAATTTGGACACTTTTTAGACCATTGTCGAAAATTGCCAAAATCCCAATATGTCCATTTTTATTTGTTAAAACAATTAAATTTGAAGTCCAATTTTTCTAAAATCTTGCTAGGGGACAATAAACACGCAATATTTTTCGAATTAGTAAGCCGAGATCTGTACTCCCAAATTTTTTGTAGATTTTTAGACAATTCTTTTTAAAAGATCAAAATTTTAACATTTTCCCGTTATAAAAATTTTGACATTTTTTTCAATCACTTTTGAAAATTATTTAAATAGAATTAAGTTTTGATACATGTTGACTTTTAAAAGTTACTTTCGGTCCCATTTCTTCTAAAACTCCTATCATTTTTCCAAGAATCACTCAACAAAATATATTAATATGTATGATTAAAAAAAAAAAATGCATTTCAAGACGAATAATTCTAAAACCTTGTTCTGGAACTATAAACATGCTATATGTTTCGAATCAGTACGTCAAGATCTGGGTTATAGAAGTTTTTATGGATTTTTAATGTTTTCAAAAGCTCAAAATTTCGATAATCCCATTATAAAAATATCAAGTTTCT